GCCGGTTGAGCTATAGGCGCCGAGCCAATCCAGTGAGTCTTAATGGTATATTCAGAATTAACCATGTCTTCCTGTTGGGATGAGACCTGCATGGCCTTGCATCTGCTCAGTGTCATATTTGGTGACACATTTTGTGGAGACAATACAAAATAGCTTCATAAGTAGTGTAAAAAGAGTAGCTTTTCTTTTTGGAAATCCAGATAACAGATCCAGAGAAAACCCATCTCTGGGACTGAAGCTGAGTGAAGCTTCTCTCACTCTCTTCGCTTCAGGCTGTACTTCCGCAGTCAAGTCAAAGGGGAGACGGACCGAGAGCGGCTCCTCCTCGCCTCTCAAACTAGTGGAGAGATAGTGGCAGGGAGGTTTCCTGTCAACAAGGAACTGGCTCTTGAGATGGCTGCTCTGATGGCCCAGGTAAGGATCTGTTCAAAAAGCAGGAGGGTCAGGATGCCATCTCGGGGCTGAAACAGGAGGTTCTACAGATCCTCTGACACCCGGGAGAGGCTGACCTTGCCATCTCTGGTATGGAGTACAGCTGACTCCTCCTCACTGCAGACATGGGCTACCTGCACGCAACGCTGGACTTGAAATCCAGAGACCTGGGTTTGAGTCCCAGCCACCTTCTTTCTAACTGTGAGATCTTAGCCCAGTCACTTCACTTGTCTATGCTTTAGTTTCCTTCTCTGTTTTTATGTTTTTGTCTTTATTTGTTGAAACTCAGAGGGCTTAAGTAATTTTGATTCAGGTGTTTGACTCTAAGGGCTAAGTTCGAAACACTCTGTTAAACTCTAAGATACATAGCATCTTCAGTCCTATATCCTGTATCTTTGTGTTGGAAGCTAGAATTTCCATATTTTCCCTTCTCTGCCACTAATTATGTCTTTGGAAAAGGCACTTCCTCTGAGCTACAAAATGAAAGTTGGTCTAGAATGATCTCTAATATTCTAAGACCCTTAGGTTGTTTCTCTGATGTCTATAAAACTTGAGGTGAAGGATTTGTCCACAAGTGTTTTTGACATCTATTCACATTCTACCAATTAAGTAATGAAGTGATGGCTCTTTTCACCCCTCCAACAGCACCCACCCAGCCCCTTCTACCTCCAGATTCTTTTTTTTTTTTTTTTTTTTTGAGACGGAACCTCAAGCTATCCCCCTGGGTAGAGTGCCATGGCCTCACAGCTCACAGCAACCTCCAACTCCTGG